TGGATTTCCTGAAAGTCCCAATCCCAAGCAAAAAATTACAAGTTGAAGGTAACATCAGGTTGAATTTCAACAGAAATTTTCACAGACCATCAGCATTGAAGTCTGGCAATTTGGAATGACACCTCCTTCCTCTTACTGTTTAACACTCTTATGGGACTTAAGACAGCACTCACTGATTTACTACTTTCCCCAGTCATAGGATTCATTTGTGTTTGTTTTCCTTTCACCTATGGTGCTGGACTCCCACAGGAATATTAAAATGCTATTTATTTTATCCATGGATCTTTATGTGGGAGTCAACTCAAACTAACAGAGCAATGAGATATTTTATTTCATGGTCACCTGTAGTTTTTAGGCAGGAATGGCTGTTTTGATGTAATTGGGAGGATCTCAACAACACAGCACGGAAGATGGGAAATGAGCTAAGATTTAAGTATCTCTGCTGAATCAAAGACTATATGCTGTTGGGTAGCATTATTAAGCAGCAGGAGCAGAACTCCTGGGCAACTGGGATCCTGTTTACATGCAAACGTCTGGCAATTAACAGAGAAAAAAACACAGAGATGAATGTGGCATTCAGAATTGCCTAGTGCAATCCTGCAAGGAGCTAGGGGAAAAAGGTTCCCCCGTAATTTTGTAATTATGTAATCTTTTATATAAATTGGAGCAAATGTTTTATCATTTACCATGTTTACCAACCAAGGTTGGTTGCCAATATACATACATCTTTCCTTGCACGAGGCTAAACCATTGCTAAAAGAAAAGGTTAGAATGAAAGCACAGGTATGAGCTACACTACCAGTAACAGGCTGCCAGGAACTCACAAACAGATGAGATGAACAACTTTGTTTCTTCCTACTTTGATTGATGTAGATCAAAGGTTTTTTTTTCTTTTTTTGCCTTTTTTTTTTTGCTTAGCTGTTTTGCACTAGAATCATCAAATGAAATTAATCACAATCACAACAAATAATTTATAGCAAGGCAAGGATTATAACAACAGAGCGGCACGTTTCACCAACGTGGTCCAGAAGTAGCTGCTTGGTTCAGTATTCTGAACTGGAACAACAGAATACAGCAATTCCTTCTCTTTTATTTAGAGCTTTCATTAAAAAAAATGGGAGTAACACAAAATGAACAGTTCTTGTTTGCTACAGTCATAATGGACATACACACGGTTCTGCTCAAAGTGAATCGCCTTTTTTGTTCTCATCTCAAAAAACAAATGTAATTTTATAGGTGTTGGTAAAGGAGGGCGATAGGGACATCATTTAACTAAATAAAATAAAGCATTAACAGACACCTGCATCATATCCTTCATCTTTGTAATAGGCAGACACATTATATAAATAAACTGTAGTAATAAAACTGGCAGCCCGGATTCCTGTTCTTCCTTTTCCCAAATGACTGGATTTAAGGCTCCTTTTAAGCATTCGAACAGGTAAGAATTTTAATTTAATGTTTAAACCTGTTTGGACAGACAGATGCTAAAGAATTAGACTGGAAAGCTTTTTTTGTAACTACTGCATTGAGTTCTACAGTCATCAGGGTGCTTCTGAACCAAAAAACAGAGAAAGTTCATGGCAGAAGATAAAAGTAAAGAAATAGACACAAAGGTCTGTGAAAACATCTCCCATTTTGCTGTAGGTGTCCATGGAACGACTAATCACTTCCGCAGGGATTCCAGACAGTAAGAGAGCAGCAGTTAGTACTGTTGTTTTCACTTTCTTTTCACACTAAAAGAAAAAAAAATAAACAAATTAGTTCTTCCCTTACAATCCCATTCTGCTTTACACACTGCATTATGTTGTGTCACTTCCACCCACAGCCAGACACATTTGAAAGCCATGGGTAAGAGGAGAATGTTTGGACAGATTCTCTCCAGGATTCACGACCCATCCCGGGGATGCAAAGGGACCTGACCAGGAGGCAAACAAGGCTTTGGAAAGCAGTTCAAAATTTCCGTAATTTGAGAATATTTGCTGGATATCTTCATTTAATCCAGTCTATATTAAGCATTCAAGAATCTTCCTAGGTCCGGTGAGAGAATCATGAAGCTGATTGAGCTCATCTGGATATAACTGTGGAAAAAACAAGTTGTGGAAAGAAACCGTCTCTTTAAATTCTAAAACTGAACAGCTGATTTTAAAAACAGCAAAAACTAGAGATCAAAAGATCTAGCAGAAGAGCTAATTCTATTGTGCTTTGTTCTGACACATCACCTTAGAATGACTGCTATGAAATTCAGTTTTCAATTACACACTTAACTACAAAAAGAACAACTACTCAATTATTCTGATTTTCTACAGTTCATCTATTATTCCCTTTAAAATGCAAAAGTTTTCCTTCAACTATGCATTGAACATCACTTAATCTTGCCTTACAACACAGACCAGACAAAATCATCAGCTAAAAAAAAAAAAAAACCACACAACTTCAGCAGAATTAACTGGTGTACATAAATAAAGTAATACAGAAATTTTGCTGATAAGCAGGAAGTTTCATATGTCTCATTTCAAGCCTTCAAGTCTTCATTCAAACCAACATTAGCAATGGAATATAGAGCCCTAAAGTGCCAGGGACTGTCTCATTTTGTAACTACAAAAACTATTTTGTTCAGACATCACATACACCATGGCTGTCAACAGAGCTAACGACAGGAAAGTTCTGCCTGGGAGGAAAGGCCAGAGCTTCCCAAAGACACACAGCAACTACCTGGCTTTCCTGGGCAGAGGCTGCTAATTAGGCTATAGCTAAGGTGCTAATCCCCATTTTCACGGCAACTTTAAGCAAGATTTGGACTAAATCTGGGAAGAGTAAAAATTAGTATTAACTAACGGCATCTGAGATCTCTCAATTCCACAGTTTAAAACGGAAGGAGAACACTGCACATGCATTGGTCATAAAATAATACAATCTAAGCCAAAGTTTAAAATTAAAAGCATTTTAAATTCATCTAATTTTGAAATGTTATTTTACCTTTGGAAAGTACTTGGACAGTCCCATGTAGGCAAGTTGTAGAGTAAGAAATGGTGCAAATATTGACTGTAAGGATAAGAAAGCATACATGAAAATTAACCTGGTCTAAAGGAATAACTAAGAAAACACAGGAATTTAATGCTTCCAAAACAATAAATGAAAATTTGGTAGGTAAAATATGATTTTGGGACAATAACAGCACCAATCTTAAATGCTATAAACGCAACTAGACAAGTTATATGTCAAGAATAGGGTTCTACCTTATTTTCTTTCGGCCTATGCCTGAAATCCCACAACCCTACAGCATGGTGTATGACCCAACACTGATCCAGGAGGTGGCAGGCTGCATCAGTCACATACCTCTATATAGTGTATGCAGTGTATGCATTATAAAGAGGTGCAGACACCTGGAATATTTGGGAACTTGTTTTCTCAGAAGACTGCTAAATGAGCTGGGGCCACTTATCTTCAGACTACTGCTGGTTTACTCTATTACTCTTCTGTAGGCTCCAAGCTACAAAAGCAGTTGCCTAAATATCCACAAGGATGTGAACAAATTTGCAACTGTGTGCTACTCAGCAACTCAACTGCTGTATGGGGGCCACATTAAATAGGTAATACAGATTCAGAGACGATTTTCACCTCAGAGAGCACTGGAGATTTGTTAACTTTCATATAGTTGTAGGAGACAGAAAGAATGCTTGACGTTTCCAACTCACCTAACCTCTATCTATAGACCTCAGCCCTAAGAAAGCAGTATTTCACAAAGAACAGAGTTCTGAGTTTGGAGTAAGCTGGCAAAATAGGAAGGGACTGTTTGCTTCCCTGAACTCACCAAGTACTTGCACACAAAAGCCCTGACTGCAATGGCAAGCAGAGCGCATCCCACTAATCTAAAAATGCGGAAAGAATCGAACTCCTCGACTGCATTCCCATTCTCTTGGCTCGGCTTCTCACTCATTAGCTGGTTCCTCAGCTTCAGAGCTTCATCGAATCTGGATAAGTATTGCTCTAATCCATGCCTAGGAGGCCGCGGCGCAGCTTCAGAGGACAGTTCCCCTCTGTTACGGTGACGGAGCTCGCTGGTGCCTTCCCCGACAAGCTCTGTGCTCTTACTGAACAAGTCCTTCTTTTCCCCTGGGAGGTCTGCGCTGCCGCTCGCGTGGTCGGCCGTTCCTGATAAATTGCAGACAGAATCGCCAAGCACAATTCGCTTGGAAACAGAAGGAACAGGAAGGGAGTTGGATTTATCTTGTTCATGCTGAAGTTTTGATTCTGGGTGACTTTCTTCATCTAAGAGAAACAGAAATACAGAGTTAAGCACGCTGGATACTCAGAACCACCTTTTAGCGCTGGGGTCTTGGGTTGATGACCCCACTTCCAAAGTGAAAGCACATATTTATAATTGATAAGGATGCCAGTCATCAATCACCAAGACATCTGAAATAGTTGAATACCAGAAATCCCACTTTACAAAAAGAGAAGGACTCAGCAGATAGCATAACATGCCAAAGAAAGATTTATACTCAGCCTTAGATCACACCATAGTTCATGATGATGCAGAAGAAAGGCACAGAAAGGCATTTGCGCAAATATTCATCATCGTCACCACAGCTATGCATTTACACGACCCCAGCTCCCCTTCCCCGGCCTAGGAAGGGCTCCAGGGCCTAGGAAAGGCTCCGCACATGCCGCAGGTTCTGCCGCATGGGACGCGGGGATGCATGGAGCAGGTGTCGGAGACGCGCAGGCCAAGAGCCAAATCCATCAATCAGCAACAGGAAAATTGTGAAAAACTGTGTTGAAGATTGACAAGTGCGCAGGCAATGGGAAAAGCTGCTTTAGCTTCTTTATTCAGCTTTTGGAGGCAAGGCAACAAGGTGTGCCACCTGAAGGCACCACCGTACGCTGGTAGGGACTGGCCGCCAAAACCACGGGCCCCGGTCACGGCGCCTGGAGGAACCGGCCCTCGGAGACCTGACGCTCCGCAGCCCCGGGG